ATGATCAATTATCATATTAAATTTCTTTTACTTAAATATTTCTATCTATTTCCATCCATATTCCAATTTTTTTACCATTTTATATTCACCATTACAGGTTACTTGTTTTGAGCCAAACAAATAAGAGTGAAAATCATCGCACAACTCAGTCCATATTCCTATTTAAATTGAATCTCCATCCACCTCATCATCATATGAGTCACCTCCTCTAAAATTAATTTCTTTAATATTTACATTTTTTGATAGAGCTTATCTCCAAAATCCATTTGCCAAAAAATATCCCATTTCTAACTTTTTTACCCTTCTTATATTCATCCTTTTAAGTTACTTATGAATAATTGTAAAATCCTTCGCTCAACTCAATCAACTTACCATTTCTCTAACCTGAATAGTTGAATGATCCACCACCACTTACAATTAAATTTAATAATACATGATTTTATTCTTATAAATATATTTCCATGTTCCCTTTTTATAATCGTTAAATATTTCTCAATCTCATAAACTTGAGCTAGACTTATTTTTTTTAATATATTGCTTAACTCCAAAAGTTCTTAATTTCATTCTCAAAATGACTCCATCTTATACATATTTGATATAATTATCTTCAATAAATATGATTTGAATAGTTGTCTAAACTAAATTAACATTGAATTAATCCCATTTTTTAACTTCTAAATCGTTGGTTCCTATTTTCGATAATTACGAGTATAAGGGAATCATTTTAAATATATTAATCTAATATTTGTTACTTCTAAAAAATATTAAAAAATAATTACAAAAAGTATCCCATTTGTTAGTTTTATGACTAAAAGATTACTCTAATAATTACTTTATTTTAGAATATTAATATCATAATTGATATTAAGAAAAGTTTGTAAGGTAAAGTTGATGATACAACAGCAAAAGTTAAAATATGTGATTCTATGCGATAATTCTAAAATTTGTAGTAAAACTTTACTTAGCCAATTTAATAAAAGATAAGCTTTGATCAATGCTCTAATTTAAAATATTAATATAATTATTGTTTTTCAAGTTGAAGGTATAATAAAAATTCATTACATATAAACACAAAGTAGTTAAAACAAATATTAAATAATACTAAAACAGTTTCCTATAATGAAATCTTTTACATAAATTCAATAGTAATTATAACTCATTTATCACAATTAATTTCTTTGAGTTTTTTAAATTCCTTATCATTTCATTTTCTATACATTTCCCTCCATATTCCAAAATTTTTTCCCATTTTCATATTTGCCATTAGATGTGAGTTAACAATTATAATTAGATTCATCACTCAATTCAGTCCATATACCAATCTTAATTGAGTATCCTTCCATTTTTTCATAATATATTCCACCACCACTTATACTTAAAAATTATTATTAATAAATCTTTTCATTTTATTTATCTTCACTATTCTTTTTCCAATAAATATTCCATCTTCCAGCCTTTTTACCATCAATATATTCACCATTAAAGGTGATCAAAAACTTTGCATTAGACCTATCGCTCAATTCAATCCATTACCCTATCTGTATTCCTTCATCATTATATGATCCACCTCCATTAGAAATTAATTTAAACTACATACATCTTTTAATTCTTTTTTTTGATAATCTTTAAAACAAGTATCCCATATACCAACTTTTTTATTATTTTTATATTCTCCTCTAAAAGTAATTTACCAATACCAATTGGATTCATCACTTAATTCAATCCATTCTCCAATCTTACTTGAATCTTCATCATCATGATATGATCCGGCTCCACTATAAATAAATTTTTTACTCCATACATTTATTTATACATTTTTGTCTCTTAATCCTTATACCAAATATCCCATCTACCAACTTTTTTATTATTTTAATATTCGCCATTAAAAGTAATTTACCAGCTCCAAATAAATTCATCATTCAACTCAATCCATTTCCAAATCTTAATTGAACTTCCTTCAACATGATCATGATATGATCCTCCACCATTGCTAATTTATACATAATTAAACATATATATTTTACATCTATTTAAATTCTTCATTATTTTCTCCTCTAAATAAAATATCCCATCTACTAATTTTATTCCCATTTTTATACTCACCTTTATAAATGACTTGCGAATCAAATTTAAATGCACAACTCAGCTCAATCCACCTACCAATCATAATCGAACTTCCTTCTACTTAATCATCGTATAATCCACCGCCACTGCAAATTTACTGTTAATTATAATAATATCAACATCTATGTAAATCCTTTATCACCAAATTTGAAGAAAGTATCCCATCTACCAACTTTTTTTTCATTCTAATAATCACCATTATAAGTGACTTCAGACAAAAAATTATACCCATCACTCAATTCTATATACCTGCCAATCTTTATTGAATCTTCAACCCTTTCATCATCTAATCCACCACCACTAATACTCTAGTAATTACAATTTATATTATTCCGAAATTATCTTTTTCTTTATTCCCTATACAAAGTTTACCATCTACCAACCTTTTTACTATATTTATAATCTCCATTATAAACTATTTATGATAAACTACAAAATCCATCTCTCAACTCAATCCATTTGCTATTCTTTTAAATTCCCTTATTGTATGATCCTCAGCCACTATTTGTTTTATTTATTTCAATAAATATATCTTTTTATTATTATAAACATATTTCCATGCTCCTATTTTTTTACTACTAATAAACTATCCAATTCTATAGACTTGAGCTTAACTAGTTTATAAGATAAGATTTAATATACACCCAATAATAATCAATTAGTTCTTTCCAAAAACCCGATTTTAACCATCCTCATAGTACCCACCAACTTAATTTAAAAGTTATCCTTTCCAAAAAGCTTACCATTTACCTATTTTTCTTTTGTTATTTCCATATTCACCTAACCATTTAAAATTTTTGATTAATTCAAAAATTTTCAAAATCTCCAGATTATCAGAAATATCGTAAAGTATTTCACTTTGAGTTAATTAAAAATATTTATTTACTTTCTTAATACTGCACCATCTAATAAATAGATAATTTAATTATCTTATGTAATTATGATCTGTATTTTAGTCTTTATAAGTTTTTATGATGTTTTATCTAACTTATCAACTTCATATTCTTTTAAATATTGCTTCCATTTTTTTGATTCTAAGTAACTTTAATTTTAAGAATTCATATTTTTTATTTTAATTATTTGTATTTTTATTAATTAAGAAAAGGTTTAATTGCTCTGAAAATGAAAATTGCAATTACTTACGATTTTTAATATTTACTTATATAGAATAATGAAATTTTCTATTGCTTAAAAATGAATTATGATAGCTTTTTAAATCTAATTATTATGAAGTATTAAATTTACTGAAAAGTATATTGATAACACTTATATTTATAAGAAATGAAAAAACAAGTTCAAGAAAATTCATGTTATTGTGATGAAAAACACATTTAAATATCTTATAATGTAATTTAGAAATTATCAAGTATTGATTAGAACTTTTTGAATGCAAATAATTAATTAGAAATAATATATAAAGAATAAAATAAAATATATACATTAAATTATGAATATTAACTTTTTAATAATTATATTCCATAATTAAATACTATTCTATAAATTGATGTATTTGTTAATAAATTCAACATTTTATGAAAAATTGGAGAAACTATGAATCAATTTAATCTTCCAAATTTATAACCAGAGTAGATATGCATAAATTGATAAACACAGTAAGAAGATCTTAAGTAATTTACTATGTGAAATGCATGCAATTTTCTGAAAATTAAAGAGACATAATCAACAGTTAATTTCTAGCTAATCTTATAATTCAGGATTATTGAAAAATGCTATACCTTGGATATTGAAAAATCTTTATCTCTAATCGTGATTGGATGTATTAGTTTATTAAAACATATACTTAAATTTCAATAGAAAAAATTGAAAGTACAAAAAATAGTAAAAGCTCACAAGTTAGTAAGTTGGATAGTTGTAATAAAAAATTCAATTTAATTTATAACAAATGGAGATTAAATCATGAAAATCTAGTCTTTATAAGGGATATAGCTGAGTCTATTATAATCATTATGTGGTCATTCCAGACCTGTAAGATGTTTGCTTATAAGTCGGTATGAAGATCTAATTATATTTGGCAGAAATGATTAAACAATTGCATTTTGGATTAGAAATGGTAATGCTTGCAAATTTGATTAATAAATACTAGAACACTCTAATTTCATATGTGGAATAAGTTTAAAGGAATGATAAAATTATTTGATTTCTAGGGCTTGGGAAGAATCAATAATAAAAATAAGTCAATAATACCCTTGCAAGACTTGGGTTGTTATATAAAAAATTGAAATAGATTTATGGGGTTAAAGAATATGTTTTATAAGTGAATAGATGTTTCATTTTAAACTTTCAATGGTTAGACTACGCATCTGTATCAATTTGAACATAAGAATAATATTTATGCTTACTCCAAAACAAAAGATGTAATATCAAGTGAAGAGGTTGTTTAAACTAATTTATAAAATAAAAATCTATATCGATAAATAAGAATGGAGAATGTGCTATATATAAAATATAATATATGAACAAGAAAATTCACTAAAAATGATTGATTTACTTTATTAATTTNTAAAACCTTTAAAATCTAATCAATCCTAGGAAAATTCTATATTATAGATAAGAATTTCGATCAAATCAGGGTTTTGTAATAAATTACATCATCAATTATCAAATTGATGTAGAATTCTAATTATTTATTTTTACAAGTTAGATGATTTGCTTTTTATAAATTCTTCATGCCTATTAACTAAAATATGAATTTATAATTAGAAAATAATAATGAAATTATTATTCCATTATTAGCTCAAAATTTTTGAACATTAAGACATATCTTAATATATCCATATTTAATACTCTTCAATTCATACAAAAAGTAATGTAATTTAGAATTTATCAAGTTTTAATTAAAGCTTTTTAAATGCAAATAATTAATTTAGAAATGATGTATAAAGAATAAAATAAATACATTTAATTATGAATATTAACTTTTTAATAATTATATTCCATAATTAAATACTATTCTATAAATTGATGTATTTGTTAATAAATTCAACATTTTATGAAAAATTGGAGAAACTATGAATCAATTTAATCTTCCAAATTTATAACCAGAGTAGATATGCATAAATTGATAAACACAGTAAGAAGATCTTAAGTAATTTACTATGTGAAATGCATGCAATTTTCTGAAAATTAAAGAGACATAATCAACAGTTAATTTCTAGCTAATCTTATAATTCAGGATTATTGAAAAATGCTATACCTTGGATATTGAAAAATCTTTATCTCTAATCGTGATTGGATGTATTAGTTTATTAAAACATATACTTAAATTTCAATAGAAAAAATTGAAAGTACAAAAAATAGTAAAAGCTCACAAGTTAGTAAGTTGGATAGTTGTAATAAAAAATTCAATTTAATTTATAACAAATGGAGATTAAATCATGAAAATCTAGTCTTTATAAGGGATATAGCTGAGTCTATTATAATCATTATGTGGTCATTCCAGACCTGTAAGATGTTTGCTTATAAGTCGGTATGAAGATCTAATTATATTTGGCAGAAATGATTAAACAATTGCATTTTGGATTAGAAATGGTAATGCTTGCAAATTTGATTAATAAATACTAGAACACTCTAATTTCATATGTGGAATAAGTTTAAAGGAATGATAAAATTATTTGATTTCTAGGGCTTGGGAAGAATCAATAATAAAAATAAGTCAATAATACCCTTGCAAGACTTGGGTTGTTATATAAAAAATTGAAATAGATTTATGGGGTTAAAGAATATGTTTTATAAGTGAATAGATGTTTCATTTTAAACTTTCAATGGTTAGACTACGCATCTGTATCAATTTGAACATAAGAATAATATTTATGCTTACTCCAAAACAAAAGATGTAATATCAAGTGAAGAGGTTGTTTAAACTAATTTATAAAATAAAAATCTATATCGATAAATAAGAATGGAGAATGTGCTATATATAAAATATAATATATGAACAAGAAAATTCACTAAAAATGATTGATTTACTTTATTAATTTTTAAAATTTAGAATTTAACAACCATAATCATATCGATAATATTAGAAATTATTTATTTATACTATTTTCAAATGAATAGTTAAATTCCTTGTTAAAAGAAGAGTAACATTTTTGGGTAATTAGTTAATTCTATATAGCTGCCTATTCATGAATAATCATATCAATACACAAAAATACTAATAAATAAGTAGATTTTTAATATTGCAAATAAAATGGAAAACTATTTATTTAAAAAAATGATAACTAACCTTATTTTGAATATCACAATATAAATGACAAATTCTCTAAATATCAACTTATCTTAATTCTGTTTTTTAAACATCAGAATTAAATTAATTATTACTAAATATAACGATGATTTAAATTCGAATATAATGTTTTATTTGATAAATTGCAATTGTGTTTTTTTTTTGTAATTATGAATTAATTCGAAATTCTTTATTACATATTGCAAAAGTCTTCTATATCCTATTATCGAAATAGATAATCATTAAGGAATTTAACGAAGGCAATTATATAAATTAAAAATATTCAATTTTGTGATTATTTAAAATGAATGGAGTGCTAATAGAAAATTTAAGAAATTTACGTTGAGGGTTAAGTACGAAAAATATATTATTAAAATATTACTTTGATAAAATTAGACATTATTTATTTAACTAACTATTTTGGAATCTGTATAATCATCCCCTTTTGAATTTAATAAATTCATAAATAGGTAACTCTAATAATTAGTACAACCAACTACAAATATACCACATAATGTATCTAATGTTTCATAAATGCTTAGGCTGTTGCCTTTAAAAATCAAATGTTAAGTTTATTTTATAGAAACTCTATAAGTATAATGTAATTTTAATCAACTTCAATAAATGAATTATTTTACTTTAGTTTTTTATTAATGCAATCATTAATCCTTGTTAGATCTTACATAATAAAATAAATTTATAAATCTAAATATTATAGAATTATTAACATAATTTATTTTCAATTCAAAGAGAAAATTGATAGGATTCAAAAATTAAGAGATCTTCATTATCAAGTTAATTCATAATTCTATATTTCCAATTGATATAACCAAGTTCTGAAAAAACATATCAATTGCAGAGTTATAATAATATAATGAGATAAAAACATTAATAAAATCTGATTTCATAATATAATTATTATATATATAT